TCTCCGCCAGGGAGGTGCTTTTCCAGGAGCTCGGAGGACCTGCTGCGCTCTCGGCATCTGGGTGGTGGGGTGGTTTGGGTTGGGTTTTTTTGTAGCCAGTGGAGGCGTCGTATCTAAAATTAAATTAGAAAGTACAGAAATGGAGTTTTCGTGACATGAGAAACAGCTGATCTCATTACTCTCTAGGAATACCGGTTCCTGTTTGCAAGTATGTGCTAAGCCAGACTTCATCCAGGTGCTGGTACCATCGTATCAAACGCACGGCAGCCTTACATCGAATACTATGTGTATTTAGCTTCATTACTTTCATCTGAACAGCCTCAAAATGAAACTTCATAGATTAAAACCATTTAGTAAAGTAAGATGAAAACCATTTGGTAAAGTAAGATCCAACCTGTGTCTGCCACAGCGCTACACGCATTCTCGTACTTTTATTCATCTATTATTGAATACAGAAACATCTCTTTCACATCATTTTATACGAATATTTGAAACCAAAGTACAGTAGAAGGAGAAAACTGATTCAGAGCTATGAAAACGAGGCGGTGTCATTTCCTATCAGATATCACGGAAGAACTTTTTTCCATCTTCACGTAGGTGTCACACGGGCTTGAGCAGCGTCAGCCCTTTTCTTTCATGTCGGGACCGCAGTAATGATGAAAGAAAAAAAAAAAAAAAGATCCTGCAGAGCTGGAACATGCTACCTTGAAGCTGCAGACAACCACAGCGAGCTGGCTGCGGTCTGCTCGGCTTGCTAATGCCTACCCTCTGGAAAAGCAGGAAAGGTGGTTGCTGCAGCTGCTGCTAGAAGTGTTGCCGCTGTGTGAATCGCATTTGCACAGTCGGTTGAGACTAGTCGTACAGATTTAAGGGTATTTGGAAGTTTGTTATGGAAACCTTTACATGCCTTTCCTAGGCATTGTACCCAGGAAATAATTTGCCATGGAAAAACGTAACTGAAAGTATTATTGGTAGAGCTCACATACTGCGTATGTTTAACATGATATTTATCCACAAGATTTTGCATAAAGATACACACTTAGTCACACTCGGAAAGCTTGGATCCTTTTGCTTTGATTTTCCTGTGGCTGACAGCAAAGTTGAGAATTTATGTGGATGTAGAATGTAAATCACAGTCTTAAAGGCAAAGTTTGTACACTGGATTTAAGAAATGTTTAAAAAATTATATGCATTCACTATGTGGCCAGCTTCTACAGAGATGCTACTTATTTGGCAATTTTAAAGCAGTATTTTGGTTTAATTGACATAATGCTTTTATCTAGGATTATTTCCAGACAATAAATTTGATACAAGGGGTTTAAATGGCTTTTAAATAATTGAGAAACAATATCTTA